CAAAGTGTGCAATAAAAAACTTCAGATCTTCTTGAGATACAGATGGTAGTAAAAAATTTGAAGCCCTTCACCGGCATACGGTGAAGTCTCCATATGAGTGAAAAATTCTCGAGAGGGATGTTAAACAATATACAATCAATCAATCAATCAATCAAATCTTCAGTATATATAGGAAAGGCAAATAGAAGCATCATCTTTGCGTTTTCTAACTAAAATTGATAAATAAATATATTTTAGGTTTAAAAATCTAGAAGTATCCAGGCATGAATTTAGAAATTTGCATGGTTTTTTTTTTATTTATTTGATATTCTGGGTCTTTCATTCCTTTATTTTGTATATGAAGGATATGGAGATAACCAACAGTATTAAATCTCAAAGTCCATAAAACAATACAAAATAGAAGCAGAGCATACACAGACCTAAAAAAAAAATCAGAGGTGGGATCAGGTGCCATAGAAGAGTGAGCATCTCCTGCCGACCGGTTACACCCGCCGTGTGCTCTTTTTCATGATCGGGAAATAACAGTAAAAATACGTCGTCAATTTAGTGCATAAATAATGGACAAAGTATGAAAAACATCAGTCAGCATTTGAATCAATGATAAATTGTATTTGCTGACAAAGTCATTGTATTGACCATAGGATGTACGAAATGATGACTTTAAACGAGATTGCTGATATTCTTGTTTTATCAACATGTTTGTCAATAATTTTCCTCGTTTTAGAAATTGCTCATACGTAGAGCACCCTCTTGCGTATCGAATTAACTTAGATATATAAACTTCTTATGCAGGTGATTAAGGTATATTGCTGATAAGTAAGGGAAGTTGACAATAGAAAAGTTAAAGTAATCACGTTTGTTATCGAGTTTGGTTGTTAGATTACCATTAACGCCATTTTCAAGTAAAATATCCAAGTATGAAACAAATGTGTCAGACTCTGTGGTATCGTTTATTTCAATCTCAAGAGGCTATATCGTATCGACATAGGAATGGAAACTACCATTGTTAATACACATTGTAAAAATCTTGTTTTGTCATTATAAAACATTACAAATATCTTATAATTTTATATCACACTAATTAGCTTGAGTTTATATATGCTTTAATTTTTCTAAAAAGTCCCATTTCCCTGAATACATGGATTCTTCATTTTTTAAGTCGTGTATTTTTTTTTAAATTATAGGGTACGAATGTCAACTTTTTTTTATAAAACCCTTTCTAAGACTACAAAGAACCTTGACACATATTATGCTGTATAAAATAAAAAAATATTCTATGTAAAGTTTTCAATTTTAAGATTCACGTGAAATTTATCATTTAAGGTTATCCGATCCTCAGGTTCTGAAAATCAGGCATTAAGTAATTGAAAATGCTCACAAAGATGTCTCTAAATTCTCAAATTAAAATGTATTTACCCACGGTATTTCTTTAATTTTCATCTTTAAATTTAATCATATTATATAGGAAAAATTAGTAAATCTCAAATAATTTTTCAGGAAATGCGATTTGAACTACCTACTGCATATTTTTAAATTGATAATTGATCAAGATATACATTTTAGGAATAAAAATCATAGGTATCCAGGCTTTTAAAGAAAATTGCATGAATTTTACACTTATTTGGTACTTTACTTTATCCTGCTTACTTCCATCCTTTCATAATGCATAGTGTATGAAGTGTTTCCTTTCAAAGAAAACACCGTAAATCACTTCTAATTTCAAATCATGCTTATAAGCATTGGTAAATAAGGCTAAATTAAAAGAAATTTGATTTTTTTTAAATATGCAAGTTTTACTTAATTTTATGAGGTACAAATGTCAACTTTTTCAATACCATTTGTTAAAACTTTACGAACATTGAATCACACGTAGAGGCATAAAATAAAATTTGTTGCATGAAAAAATTTCAATTTCAAGCTGTATTTTAAGACTTTTTGAATTAAATTATAAAATAAAGAGTTATCGTTCCTGGCTGAGAATCGTATATCCTTAATAATAATGTTAAAACTGTATATATGGCGTATTTGTAATAAGTTCAGATAACTAAAATAAAAGCGATGATTCTATTTGGTTTTTAATCATTTAAGGAATGAATTTAATAGCTACCCATTTTATACGGTATAAACTGGGTTGGGGCAGTTTACGCTTTATAAACCGCGAAGCGGTTTATAAAAAAGCGTAAACTGTTCCAACCCAGTTTTTACCGTATAAAATGGGTAGCTATTAAATTCATTGCTTATAATTTAATTTTCATTCAATTGATATAAGAATAAAAGATCATTGTTCTAACAAAATGACTTCAATTTATACAAAATTTGAATGTAACGTCAGGCGGATTGATACATTTTTGACGCAGGTCATTGTGGCGAAGGCAACCCATTTTATACGATATAAAGTAAATTTTTTTTATCCAATCAAATACAGCGTTACAACCAGAATTAAATTATAACTTTATATAATGATAGAACATTTCTGTACTTACACAATTCATATCAATCCCTTTTCAAAGATCTTAAAAATTTACAACAAAATCCAATTTACTATCGAATCCACATTTAAATATTTGAATATTCACTGCACTCTCCTACTCTGAACATGCAGGTTTCATCTGCGTTCATAGAACTATAGACGCAACTGCTCCTGCTATGAGTGAAATTGCTCTTTCACATTCTTTTGTACCAATCGCATCATCTCGGGTCTTTCCGTCAAAGGTCGGATAAACAACCTCGAATGTATTAACATCACCGGATGTTAAAAATTTATACATTTCCTGTTTATTCAAATATAGGATAGACGGAGTTAGAAGTCCCTTCTATAGCATATTTTAGGTAAAATCATTACACTGAATAAAGTTTAACTCCATATTCCACAGATAAAAGGTGCCCATGCATTTATTTCAAAGATCGTGAAAAAGGAGGGTTGTCATGGAAGCTACTATATACATTCGAGGTCGTTTTTCCGCTAGCCGGAAAGGCCCGAGAAGTTGCGATTGTCGTTGGTACAAGCTCTACTTCACTTTTATCGAGTGTTGAGAAATATATATATGAAATGTTTCGTAAAAGGAATAAATATAAGTTTTTAATAATATTTTTTGGAAAAAAAAGAAATTCATAACAATTTAAAATTGCAGATTTTTATCTTTAAAAATTTTATTTTGTCAATGTATTTAATTGTATAATAAACTTTTTCAAAATTGAAGAGAACTGTCATATTTTAATATTTTTCTTATCATTTTTTGCATATTTGTACAAAGAACGATAACTCTTTACATTTGGGTGATAAAACATTCAGAAATGTCTGTTTGAAGAACGATTTCAGCTCTTAAAAATAATTAGAAAAACTTAAAATAGCACAGAATAACATTCTGAAATTATAATCATTATTAAAATATTCCCTTTTTTCATCATAAGGTTTAATTATTGATTTTTGTCAGAGGGTTTAAATAACGTTGGTCGATGACGTCACAATTGCATCAAAACAAAAAATAAGAGAATATGACGACAGTGCAGCTTCTATCCAGATAACTGTATGTAAGAAGCAAATACTGTACAATTTGTTTGTGATTTATTAGAGAAAAGGTGCAATGATCAGGAATACTAGTTTTATAGCTGTGTGTTTTTCTTTACTGGAGACAACAAGCCACGTCCTTATAAATGTACGCCAGGATTTCCTCTGATATTCTTGATAACATCAAAGAATGCAAATATAAGTTAACGCTAACGCGCTTCATGGAATATGCCAGCAGAGCAATTGCTATTCATAACGCCATGTTCACTAAATAACGTTGTTTCTTTTTAAATAATAGGCAAGGTTGAGTAGAAATGTGAGATTATTCAAGTTCAAAATCATTATAAATTTTTATTTGATTTTTCATAAAATTCATCATGTATATCTACACTCAATCTACTTTTTTAGCTCGGATACATGGCATAGCTTTAAGAGTTACCGTTACTGGCTCAGAAAAGGGTATTCTTAAGACTTGTCAGTACAAGTATATTATATTAAAAAAACATGTATCTTGATTCGATTATTCGTCGGTAAGAATAGTAAATTATTGGTAACAATTTTTCTCAACAGTCATCTGTAAAATATAATATATTTAACTTAGCTAATGTAGATTAAACTGCTAAAACTGGAAATTATAATGATCTTGTGTTCATATCTGAATCACACGCCTAGAATCTTAATTCCCCCCCTCCCCCAATATGTCCAATACTAAACCGAAAGTTAAACTTCCGGGGCATTTCAAAAGGACAGGTTATAGGACAAAGGAACGCAATAACTTAAACAAGAAATAATCAAGAAAAAATTGCTGATTGAGGTTAGGTACATCTGCTCTTATTACAGTCGTTTTATACTCGATCAACATAATGGTTGTGCATCAATAAAATCGTTCAAAGAGAAATTGAATTAAAAAAAAATTGCATTATTATACATAAATCTAACAGGACAACTTTTTACAGTAGGAAGATGGCGACTCCATCAACTTGGGCACAGGACGTGATCACGTGTGATCTTTGTGACAACCCCACCCACCAATTCTGCAACAGCTGCCCAATCAGTCTGTGTGGGAGCTGTATTAATAAACATATAGAAAGTCTGAAGTCTGAAACGCATGACATTGTTCCTTTTAAAGACAGAAGAGAACGGCTCGTATTCTCCTCATGTGCTTCTCATCCAAACCAGAAATGTGAGGGACATTGCCAACAGTGTGATGTCCCCGTCTGCTTCAGATGTCTCACAGGTCCCCACTGTGGCCATACTGTCAAAGATATGTCAGAGATGGTACAACAGATGAAAGAAGAAATCAAAAAAGAAACCGAGGAAATTGAGAATTTTATTTCAAGATTTGCTATAAGTGGAGCAAACGTTGATCAAAAAGTATCTAACATGATCGAAACATTTAAAACAATGGAGAAAGAGGGAAAAAAATCTTAGAAAAACCTGGCATGAAGAAGTGGACAACATTTTCGACACACTTCAATCAACCATTAGTAAAATGAAGGATAGAAGACTCACAGCTCTCAGTTCACATCAGTCCAGACTTAAGGATTCAGGAATAAAATTACAAAATATAATGAAAGAAAACAAGAAAATATTGAGGTCCAATAAAGTATCTGATGCTAGGAGCTACAAATCAGAATTAAAAGAATTCAGGGATATTCCAATAGATGTTGATATAGATATGCCTTCCTTAAATAGCAACACAGTTCAGGGGAGAGAACTCAGCATAGAATTAGGAGAATACAAGGCTACACTGACACAGACTCCCATATCCAGTCTGACAGATGAAGTGTCCATTTTATCAGATAGAAAATTTTTGGACAAAGCTAATGTTATTGCTAGGATTCCGTCTGGAATAAAGCCTTTAGGTCCCATTTTGTGTACACGAACCAATGAAGCTTGGGCTTGTGGTAAAGACAAATTCATAAGACGTTTTGACTTACGTGGATCTTTGAAGGACAAGGTCGCCACCGACTGTAAATCGAATCCGACTGACATTTCAATGACCAGACAGGGAGAACTGATTTACAGTGATTATGACAGCAGAACAGTGAATATGTTCAGACAGAGGAGGATAGAGACACTGATTACTCTACCTCGGGGATGGCATCCATGTTTACTGTTTCTTACGAGATCAGAAGATGTACTTGTTAGCATGCATACTGCTGATAGAAGTCATTACAAAATAGTCCGTTATCATGGACAGAGAGCAATACAAAAAATAGAGAAAGATAACCTCGGACAATATATATTCAAAGGTGGGAAAGTAGGGGTTTGTGTGGTGGAGAATAATAATGGGGACATATGTGCTTCTGATCTGAATGCCAATACAGTGATAGTGATGAACAGAAGAGGGAGAGTCCGATTCCGTTATGATGGTACACCAGCCAGGAGGATTAGACAATTCAAACCTGCGCACATTGCTGTCGACTCACTGAGTCAGATTATTATAAATGACTTTAATAACGGCTGTCTTCAAATCCTAAATCTGAATGGACAGTTTCTAAGATGCATTGCCGATTTTGGACTTCAATATCCTGTTCGACTGAATGTGGACAGGGAGGGAAGATTGTGGGTAGGGTGTCAAGAATCAGGTGATGTAAAAGTGATCCAGTACATGGAATAAAACAAGCATTCTCTATAATACGAGCACAAGGGTTGTCCCTAAAAGTCATAGACAGAAAAAAAGTTTAATGTGTCTTTGCTGAATTATTTTTTTTCTTGTGATATGTTATAATAAAGTCAACAATTTATGATCATGCAATTTAAGTTTCATGATAATATCACATTTAATGAGAAAACAATAAAAAAAATGAAGAAAGCATGTAAGTTTATATTGGTAAAAGGAAGTAAGCATAATTTACCTCTCGTTTATGAAAGGTCAGATATTAAAGATTCTTATAGTACTCTGTTTTACAATATTATGGTTACCATGGCAACGAAATATGGTTACGAACACAAAAATGGCGTATTTTGTGTAAATTGTGTTTTCGTTAAAAGAAAAAAACAGTTTTGTTAAATTACTTTGTGAAAGACAAATATTTCAATTTTACAAAAGTTTGCTTTTGCTGTTTTGACCGTCAGTAGTTTAAGACGCCTACACAGGACTGAATTCTGATTGGCTAAGAGGATCACGTAGTCAATAGTGGGGGATAGATGGTCAAGATATTAGGACCCTGGGGGGATAGGGGTCAACTCAGTGGATCCCCCTGAGGGTGATAGCCGGGTAAAGGGCGTGCATCGACCTGGGATGGGTTGGCTGGATCAAATGAGTACAAAGTGTAAGACCTGAGATTTATAGCCGGCCTAAAACTTGGCAGTGATTCAAATTATGACGTCATCCTAGATTTTCATTGCACGTTCTCGGCGCGCTCTTCCTGCCCATCAGCGGTCCGCAGGTGTTGATCTGCACGTTCTCGGCACTCGCTTCCCGCCAAAGGACACCTGGTCTATACCTATGGTACAGATTCAACTTTCGGCAGCTCCCTGCTTCACATTTGCGCATGCGCATTGCGACTTCCGCTTTCCCTTTGGATCTTGAACCGGTGAAAATTCACAGTCATGATTCTGCTAGTTATTTTCTGTGTGGTATGTTTATTTTTAATCAGATTCTAAATCCTATTTCTTAAATAGGTTTTTCTAAAACTTTTTAGTGTTTTCCCATTGAAAATAAAATCTATTTGAGCATTTAATGCAATATTATGTGCAACAGTTATTATACAATGCTATACTTAAAAATTTGATGAAAAAAAATTAGTTGTAAGGTAGTTATCTAAATAGTTATTATTAAATGTTTATTCATATTAGTATGACACTTTTTTATTGATTTTATTTGGGTTATTGATGGGATACATATTTCTTTGGTTGGATTTAACATTTCTGAGTTAAAAATTACAGTACATGTAGCTATTTGATCTTAAAGTTTGCTTTCTTTAAAGTAAGTATGTTCAAAGTTGGCATTTTTATAGATGTATATTCATCCGAAGAGCTCTAGCGGTGTATACACCAGTCAATATTTTCTAGTTTACAAAAAATATAAACAACTGCAAGTAAATATTGTGATGTTAACATCAGGTCTAGTACGATCTCTTGATTTAGCTATATAGCTTTAAATAGCTGAAAAGCTTTATTCAGCTATTTAGAATAGCTTTATTCAGCTATTTATATACAGTTTTTCACAAAAATGTTTTTTGCTGAAAATAAACAAAAAGTCGCATGTATTTGACTCTTCATACATGTACTATGGACTATTAAAACAACAACCAAAATCAAAGATAATCCTAACTTTGCAGCTTTTGAATACTTTTAAGCAAAAAGAGAATTTCTATTGTTAGACTAACTGTCCACTACCTTGGGTCACAGGTTGGGTGCCTTGAGGCAAGGAAAAGTATGATTGCTTCTCATTGTGCTGAACTGTTACCAATCAATTATCCTTGTTGAACATAAATGGTCTCCATAAGGCATTATAATATCATTGCAGAAGTAACTGTATCAATTTCTTTATATAGCCCCAAAACTTGTAGAACTTGGAGTACAAAGTCTCTCAAGGAGACGTAATTTGATGAGCGATTTTTACATGCATTATTTTAAAAAGAGTTCAAAGTTGTATATCATCACTGCACCATGGTGCGCTTTTTTGTAAATACTGAGAAAATTACACCTTTAAGAAAAAAGTGTAGTAAAATAGCTAAATTAAGCTATACTGAATAGCTTAATAAAGCTATTTAGCTATTTAAAGCTATATAGCTAAATCAAGATATTGTACTGGACCTGAAAATTTTTCATTATTTGACTTAAAATTTTAATGAAGACATTTATTAGTATACCAATAATCTTTTTATTAAATAAGTTTCAAGGTATTTAATGTTGTTTTGCATGTTTTAAAAGACTTTACCTGGTTTATGTTTGACAGATTACCCTCTGGGCACCTGTCCATTGTGTTGGTGAGGATATGCCTCTACCATTTCATTCTCAGGTAAGTTCCAAAACAGAGAAATAACATATACCATGATACTTAATAATAAATACAGCTAATATTCATAGCAAACACAAGAGGAAGATTTATTATAAGGATAATGGAAAAGTACTTGTGCTTCATCATCAAATTATTGTTTTATTGTATTATTCTTCAGGACAACTTTTTGCCACCCATTTTGAAAGACGTTCAGTTACAGGTATGCAGTTTAGTTTTGAAAAAAAGAGAATTTCATTTTTTTTTACCTATAAACTAAGTTGACAACTGAAATTGAATCTTTTTGTAGTTGGATTTCATTGTTATATTTTAATACACTGTTTCTGTGATCCTTCATCTTTGAAAAATATTCCAATTTTTTTTATAGTCTCTTTAAGATTTCTTAACTTTTTTCTTTACAAGTTTTTATAAGTAAAATTCCTTTTTAAGCTAAATTTTTTAGAAATTTCACAGGCTCATACCTAACATAAGGGAAGCTTTTCGGAGGTATCCCTCGACCCAGTATCAAGACCATTTTGACAAGAACAAGGTCACATTATACTTATTACATGGTTTAACTTTAAGCCCTAACTTAAGAACCAAAAAAGTAAACTTATGCTTGAGATAAAGTTTACTTTTCATCGAAAATTATGTCCTGGCCAAGGTAAATAAGACAGGTCTAGGACACTAAGGATGTCATTTTGGAAATGAACTTAAAAATATATACAGTGTATAGGTAAAAATACTACTATTCTATAGGATAAAACATTTTTGTAGAAGTAGCATAAAGTATATATTGATCTCTTAATTAAATACTAAATTCAGTCATCATTGCTCTTATCCAGAGGTGTTCCAGCCTTCTTCCCTAATTACTTAAGCAATGAAATCAATCATTATTTTCTATGGAAGAGCTAATGTAACATCTGTAGTCAATGTGAGCATGACTATTTCCGTGTCAATGTTAATAAATATGAGTTGACCAATCACACAGCGAGGGTGTGAATTGTTTATGATGGATGCATCTGTGACGTAAAAGATAGTGACTTAATGCAAAACGGCACACTTAACTGAAAATACTAATAAAATAAATTGAGACATATTAAGTTCTTGTATTCATGTCTGTCTGTCTGTCTGTCTGTCTATTCATAACTAAAATACTATCATGAACAATTGTATTGGTTTTGTGATGGATGATTGAAATGCCCATTTAAGGTGAAGATGTTTTGAACTCTTTCAGGTTTTTGGAGAAGGGGACTTCGGTTTGATCATAAGATTAAGAATTTATATATATATCATGCACTTGCTTTATTTAACCTCTATTAACATTCTTAATTACAGAATAACAATATATATTTTCTATGCACAATTTCTTAATCACATTTTTATGCACATTTACTTTTTAAGATATGCTTAAAGTTTTTTTTTTATTTTGATGGTGATGGTTTGGTATGAGGTATATATATATTTGTGTTGTATATAATAGAAACAACCTAATTGTGTCCCCATCAGAGGAGAGCGACACATAGGGATCACTTTACCTAGCATCTGTCTGTCTGTCTGGTATAACAGAGGTTCACTATGAGGATAATTGGGCAAATTTTCCTGTATTCTAGGTTATTTTTGTATTGTGGTATAACACCCTCAATAACAAGGTTTACTTAAAGCAATATGAGCTGCATTTTTGAGAATTGTATTTTGCTGGTAAAATGTGTTATTAATTTTTATGCTATTTAAGCCCTTATGATCAATAAGACCTAAATAAAGTTTTAAAATAAATCAATATTGTTCAGGATGACTATAATGTAACTTTGCCTCTATCAAAGCTTATTAAAAAAAAATCTCCCATAGGTAAAGTATTTGTTTCTCAATATGTCACCATTTTCCCCCAAAATAGCACAATAATATGATATTTTTACAAGCTATTTTTTCAATGATTTTAAATGAATATTCACAATTTTTCTTTATAGTATGCTGTAAAAAAAATTTCACTTTCTTCATATTTTTAAGGTTTTTTTTTAGCTCACCTCGATGAAGTCGAGATGAGCTTATGTTATACCCCCAGCGTTAGCGTCGGCGTCCCGGTTAAAGTTTTAGGAGCAGGTCCATTCCCAAATATTTACATTTGCTGATGTCTCTCCTTATAATTTAATTCTGGTTGTAACGCTGTATTTGATTGGATAAAAAAATTACTTCATATCGTATAAAATGGGTTGCCTATGTCACAATGACTTACGTCAAAAACGTATCAATCCGCCTGACGTTACATTCAAATTTGAAAGTCATTTTGTTAGAACAATCATCTTTTTTTCTTACATCAAATGAATGAAAATTAAATTATAAGCAATGAATTTTATAGCTACCCATTTTATACGGTATAAACTGGGTTGGAATAGCTTACGCTTTTTTATAAACCGCTTCGCAGTTTATAAAGCGTAAACTGCCCCAACCCAGTTTATACCGTATAAAATGGGTAGCTATTAAATTCATTTCTTAAATATAACAATGCTAATACCGGGTAAAATTGAAATTCAATTTTCAATGACATGCAGTTGGTCACATGATCAGACTTTCTTGTATATGGAAAGCAAACTGCATGAGCAATTTGGAAAGTTCCGACTGTGACGTCATATGACGACACAGATACTTTACATTGCATTTAAAAATCAAAGTATATATAATGCCTATATTTCTTTGTATCTTGAATAAAAATGTAAATATAAGAAATAAAATATCATTTTTTAGAGTTTCATAGGAGTATGACATGAAGTCGTCACGTGATCAAATCTACTATAACGCCCTTTGTGCGTTATAGAATTTGATCAGGTGACGGACTTCATGTCATATCCCAATGAAATTCTAAAAATGATACCTTATTTCTTAAGTAACTACATGTGTAAGCCCTACCTGGACCAAACTTGCGTGGATGATGCGTCCAGGGATGGACACTACCAGACTTGCTCTGGATGCTGAATCTGACTTACATTTTCCAGATGAGTGACCAGGTTAAAGTTTTTGGAGCAGGTCCATTCCCGAGTAATAATAAGCCCTACCCAGACTAAACTTGCATGGATGATGCATCTAGGGATGGACACTACCAGACTTGCTTCGGATGCTGGATCTGACCTACATTTTCCAGATGATTGACCAGGTTCAAGTTTTTGAAACAGGTCCATTCCCAAGTAACTAAAAGCCACTGCTGGATGATGGATCTGACCTACATTTTCCAGATTAGTGACCAGGTTATTCCCAATAAACTATAAGCCCTACCCAGACCAATCTTGCATGGATGATTCATCTATAGATGGACAATTTAAACTTGTTTCGGATGCTGGATCTGACCTACATTTTCCAAAAGAGTGACCATGTTAAAGTTTTTGGAACAGGTTAATCCCCAATGAACTTGAAGACCTATTTAAACTGAACTTGCTTGAATATTGTTTTCAGGATAAATTTTAATATTTGCATTACTTAAACTGATAACATTTGTCGAGGTGAGCTTCGTAATCTTTGATTACCTTTGTTTTAAAATCCTTAAAGCGAAGAACCAAGCTCCCTTACAAGGGGAGTTAATTAAGAGAGACAAAAATAGGTTTGGGCCAATAAAAAATCTTCTTCTCAAGAGCTAATGGGATAGAACAGCTGAAAATTTACTCTGGTGTGCATTGCGGCCCATGGGCCTCTTGTTTTCAATATCTTTGGATTCAAATATTTACTGCTATAAAAAAGGCAACACGTCTTTATTGGAACACTTTAGTCTGCTTAATTTCTTCTATAACCTGATAGCTTATGTAAAATTCTTTCTCTTCTTGCTGAATTCTTTGATAACCCTTAACTTTAATAGTTTCTACTATTTCCTAACACTACTGCACTATTCCTAATACTACTGCACTATTCCTAACACTACTGCACTGAATTAACATCATTACAGGTAGTGTACAGACAGTCTAAGACATGGGTTCAATTCCCATCACTGCCAATATGTTGACTAAATTTATGTATGACTTATAACCTAATTCCAGTAATGGAGCACACTGCATGAAAGTCTTTTTGCACAAGGAAAAAACTGTGTTGAACCTCACTGTTACATTGTTATTTGACTTATTTCTCTCACAAAAAAAGACTTTTTTGTATAATTATACAGATGAAGTAATGATAATTTATTTATTAGTACATGTATCAGTATTTAACTTGTTTTTCTTGACTGTAAATGTAATGATAACAGAAAGAAAACAGATTGTTTCCTTCTTTAAATTAGAACACTGCAATACACATATTTTCATAATATATAAATGTTTTCATGTTTTATGAACGTTATTGTAACTATGTAATTAGGAACTTGAGTCCATGGAAAATGTATTAAAAGAAGTAGATGAAACACAGCGAGTACAACTGGATCATCAGCTACAACTTGTTCAGCAGGATGAGTATCTTTCCCAGTATGGTTTGTATCGAACCCATATTCAAGGAGACGGTAACTGTTTGTTTCGTTCTATTAGTTTTGCTTTATATGGCACTGAAGACCATCATATCTCTTTACGGGAATTAGCTGTAAATCACATTCAAGAAAACTTAGAAGACTTCAGCTTTTATTTGTATGGAAATAGTGAATTTCCCATGACTGACTCTGAAATTGTTACCTTTCTCACTAATTTAAGGCAATCAGGAACATTTGCAGGACAAGAGTCAATAGTAGCTTTGTCCAGAGTGTTAGGTTTAAATATACTTGTAACTATTGGAGGGGATTCTCAAAGTCCATAGGTTAGAACATTAGAACACAATTGTCAAAATTCAGATCACATTATTGATTTGGTTTGGACGAGGGCGGGGGGTGGTCATTACGAAACTGTAGTAGAGAACCCAAAATTAAGAGAACAAACACTGCCTAGGTCATCAGAAAACACCAATAGGATTTCTAACAACGATAAAAGTAATTACAACTGGAGGTCTGATTCAAAAACTTGCAAAGAAATCAGTTTAGATCTGTTAGAAGATATCAAGAGCTACAAAATTAAAAATCAAAATATGGAACATTCTTATGGCAGACAAAATAAAGATACTTATGTAAATTCAGGGTCTAAGACAAAATGCCCTAGATGCGATAGAAATTTTTACAACAAGGCAACAATGATAAGACATCAAAAGTTGGTTCATGATTTAGAAAATAAAAACAAAATTCCTTGCTCTATATCATCATGTTCTTTGACATTTCATAATGTGGATGTTTTAGTTGACCATCTTAAAAATTCTCATGAAGCCTGTATAGAAGTTGAAAATCTCAGTTTTGAAAACATTGGCTTATTTGATCAGTTTAAAGAGGAGGAGAGTATTAAAATTCACTGTAGGTATGTTAAGCAGAGGAAAAATAAAATCAATAAGGATGGCAGTCAGTCCTATACTCTTGTTTGTCACAGGGATGGGGTAAAACGGGTTCATTTAAAAAAAGGTAAAACTTACTCTGGAAAACGCAAAGAAAACATTAAAGGGTCTTGCAAAATTCAAAAATTATGTCCTTCTAGAATGTCGGTCAAAATTAAATCAGATGGCTCTGTTTCAGTGAAGTACATTAAGTCCCATACTCACTCAATTTCTTTTGAAGAAAGCAAATTCTTACCTTTGCCAGACTCCATCAAGTCAGAAATTTGCACAATGTTAGCTCTGAAAATTCCAATTAACACTATACTTGACAAAATTAGAGAAAATGTAGGTGAACGCAACCAACGTGATGACTTAAGTAAATTGAAATATTATCATTTGTTGGATAGAAAAACTATTCATAATTTGAAGAAAACTATTGTTGATTCATCTGTTATTAGACATTCTGATGATGCCACTTCAACCTTTCTGAGAGTAAATGAATTAAGAACCGAATTATATGATCCAATATTATTGTATAAACAGCAAAATATTAATGATCCATCTATAGGGCTTCAAAAGGAGGATTTTTTGCTTGCTCTAATGACCAAGCAGCAGCTTGAAATGTTTGAAAAGTTTGCTCCTGTAATACTTTGCATGGATTCAACCCATAAAACAAATATTTATTCTTTTAAATTGATAACTCTTTTGGTCTTAGATGAATTTAGGCATGGTTACCCTGTTGCTTTTTGTATAAGTAACAGAGAGAGTGAGGATATTATCTCTGTCTTTTTGAATTCTGTCAAAATGAAAGCCCCTAATACAAAAATTAATATTCTCATGACTGATGATGACAGTTCCGGTTGGAATGCTGCCAAGAAAATTTTTGGGGGGGACATCAAGCATTTTCTCTGTCATTGGCATGTGCATGAAAATTGGAAGAAAAAGATTAGACAACTTGTTAAGGACCAAAACCTACAAGCAGAAATTTATTCTTACTTATGTGCTTCTTTACAAGCAGAAACTGAAACTCTTTTTTCTCGCTATGTCCAGGAATTGTCCAAAAAATTAGAAGGTGTAAATCCAGAATTTTTACAATATTTCCAAAATTACTACTTGAGTAGAAAAGAAATTTGGGCAAAATGTTACAGGAAAGGGGAATTTGGCAATGTACATACTAATATGTTCGTAGAAAGCTTCCACAATCAATTAAAAACAGTATTTTTTGAAGGTAAACGCAATAGACGGATTGATGTTTTGATTGATATTCTCTTACAAATTGAAAAAAATGTATTCATGACACGTTTACATCGTATGAGATTTAATTTGCCCTCAGGAGAAAATATAGATAATGCAGATCGTCATCAAAGAAGTTTAGATATTAAGGACTCATGTATTTTACAAATTAGTGACAATTTTTTTACAGTAACATCATCAGATTCTACATATGACATCAAGAAACTAGTTGGCACATGCAATGAGTTATATTGTTTCAACAAGTGCAAAAAATTTCCTTGTGTTAACCTTTGTAAACATCTTTTTTCATGTTCTTGTCCAGATTACAAAAATGGTCATGTCTGCAAACATCTACACAAAATACATGCAGTTGTCAATTTGAATAGCAATACAAATAAACCATCTAATGCAGATGTTGATTTTACACCAGAACAACACTTATCAGATAATGATACAGGTACATCAGTGTCTATTCAGGATCATTCTGATCAAAAGATTCAACAGATTGAGAAAAAATTGAACATAATTGCTGAACAGATTAGAAACAATCCGTCAGTTCAAAAACATAGGCTAGATAATATTTTATGTGCTTTAGACCATATTATTTCAGCAAATGAGGGTAGCAATGACATTGACAGTTCTTTAAAAGATTTCAAAAAGACAGAGAAGATTTCTTCTAATGCTAAAAATTTATTACAGCCTCGATTTAAACAAACTTCTAAAAAACCTGGTAGGATTCCAAACCCCCATTTTAAAAAACCAACAGATGATGAAATGAGGAATCTTCTTCCCAATGACTCAGGGTAAGTTCTTTCTTACAGGAATAAGTTATTAGGCAAAGCAATTTCAGACCTATTTAATATCTTGGATGCCAAGATGATTATATGAAAAATAGACAAATGTGCACCTGAAAAATAAAAATATATTAGTGTGTACAGAGATTAGGGCTTGAAGGCCACAAATCATGTTGCTGTGAACTTGCTGGAATTTTTTTAAAATCATTTTTAGCTGTACTGGTCAGAGACCAGATGAACTTATGCAATAGTAAGTCTGTATCTATCAATCTGTCTGTCTGTAAACAATTTTTTTTAAAAATACTACTCCCCCTACAATTTTGGTATGATTACAATATAAATTGACACAAAAAAAAAACTACAAATATAATTAAGCAATGCATCATTATTTTTTGAAAGATATAGTCTCGTAAATGCAACAATGTGTGCTATCAAATTGAGTGCAATCAAATGAATATCTCATTAATAAATAATGCACATTAGCGCATTATGAAAATTTGTTTGCACACACGGTTGCAATTATGAGACTATATCTTTAAAAAAAAAATGTTTCATTGCTTATATTTACATTTTTTAGCTCTCTACCTTCACTGCAAATGTGGTTTTTGATTAGGTCAACTTAGGTGACCAATTGCTATCCGTTTTCGTCCGTCGTCGTGCGTTAACACTTGAACATTTTTAGCTCCTTCTCTGCAACCACTCAACCAAATATAACATAAAGCATCTATAGGTGAAGGGGAACAAAAATTGTGAATTTCATGGCCCTACCCCCCTTCAGGGGGCCTGAGGGATGGGGCCAAAACCACTAAAATTAATGCAATCTTTAAAAATCTTCTTTACCCCTGGACATCAAGCAGTCAAACTGTTTGCATGATTGTAATCAGCATTCAGTCCTTTACCAAAATTGTAAAATTCATATGGCCCTGGGGTCAGGGGTTCTAGTGCTAGGGCGGGGCTTAAAGTAGGTTATATAGTGGAAATGCATTATTTCTTTGAAAATCTTCACCTCTGCTCCTGTTGAATGGTGTTGCCAACTTGCCATGGTTACCAAAATCAAACTTTCTTTCAAATTATTTAAGTAATTAAGCGTATTTCAACTTATGTTATACAATATAACATAACTTGGGGCAGTTTACACTTCATAAACCACAAAGCGATTTATAAAAAAGCGTAAACTGCCCCAAGTTATGTTATATCGTATAACATAGGTTAAAATAAGCTAAATTCCTTATAATTTAATTTCAATGTAGAAAATGAGACAATTTTTCCTCCTGAAAAAGGCTTCAAATTGAGCATATTTTAAAAGTAACGTGAAGACGTTTTTGACGAAGCTCATTGTGACGTAGACAACTTATGTTATGACCATAGAAAATGAATATTTTATCCAATCAAATGACGTGTTACAAGTATATTTAAATTATTTAAAAGGATACTCCAACAGTTTTAGTCTGATGGCAAAAAATCTTGCCTCAAAAAGAGACTAAGCCAAGGATCATTAATCTATTAAATGTATTTATTGCTGTTGCAAAGTTTCAAGTCCAATTGCTACTTTTATCGTCCTTTGTTAAGTACAGACCAGTAGAGCTACAGTCTCGTTAGAGCTAGACTTCTGGTTTGAAATTACCATTTATAAATGTATATGAAAAAATAATATTTTTATAAATTTACAGATCATCTCAAGTCTCCTCAGTACCTGTTTCCTTGCCTGGACCATCTGTGGCACCATATCCTCCCCTAAGACTGGTCCCCCAAACAACGAACGCACTACCTACACAGCCACCACAACAAAGTGTATTTAGGTATACTCAACATGTCTAATGCACATAACTCTCTCTTCTGAACTGTAAATTGTAGTTTTATGAGCTTATTTTAAAAAGAATTACAGTATGCTCAAATTTTATAATGAAATGTAGTGTTGGAACTGGATTGGGACAGCCAACATGGATGAGAGTACCACCCTCTATGATTGGAAGGAGGATTGTTACCACCATTAATGGCAGGAAGCAGGTCATTGTCTTCACAAATGGAGGAGGAAATGGTATCAATTACACACATCTTCTATGTAATTTTATGGTTTTTTCTTTCTGCTATTGTTGTGAGATGTGTATTGTTTCATTATGTATATAATTAGTAACATTAAGTTTCTTGAACATTCCAGAGTGGTCAACATGTTCGGTCATTTTATCTAGAACATTCTTTAATTTTGTGTATGTCCAGATTGTTCCAGTAATATCATGTTTTAACAAATTCTAGAATATTCTAGATTTATATTACTGTATAAATACCCTGTCAATTCGATGCATAGATATACTATACTATACTTTGTCGTATATTAGCACTATTGAGATATAAATGGGATATATTTTCACTGGGACATTGTGTGCAGCAACGGACACTCTGATGTATGTATTTTTAGATTCTTGCTAAGTTTGTACTTTATGTTTGATATATTTATTATATATTACTGTAAATAAATTATTGTTAAGTTTAAATTGTGTTATTGATCTTTGCTGGCATTTCGGGTAATTCTGACCCATAACAGAATTGGGGGCTCGTCCGGGATCAAGAATTTCTTGCACTTTTGCAGTTTATTTTGTTAATTGAACCGTTAAATTTGATTATAAGCCAGCAGAAATCAACATGGTGTTTTCGGTCACAGACTTTCTTAGTTCACCAAGTGTTCAGGGTTTTGATACGTTAAAAAAGGATGACTTGATCGCATTAGGTTTACATTTTGGGTTAGATGTTAAATCCTCTCAGAAAAAGCAAGACATTAGAATTAAGGTTGCAAACAAACTAGTAGAAGAAAACATCTTTGAAAAATACCATCTTCCAGAATATACAGTTAAATCAGAGTTAGGCTCTTATAAAATGGCAGAATATCAGTTTCAATTAGAGTTAGAGAAAATGCGATTTGAAAGAGAAAAATTAGAAAGAGAAAGAGAAGAACGAGAGAGTGAACGAAAATTTGAATTAGACAAATTAGAAAGACAAGAGCGAGAAAGAGAGCGTGAAATGAACTTTGAATTAGAGAAATTAAAATTACAGAACCAACCAGAACCGTCAGTTGTCAAAACTGAATTTGATGCAGCAAAAAATATCAGATTAGTTCCAAAATTTCAAGAAAAATCTGTAGACAAATATTTTCCACAATTCGAAAAGGTAGCAGAGAATCTTAAATGGCCACGAAATGTTTGGTCAACAATGTTACAAAGTGTACTGGTTGGAAAAGCGGCTGAGGTATACTCTGCACTAGGGGTAGTTGAGAGTTCAGACTATGAGAAGGTCAAAGCAGCAATATTAAAAGCATATGAATTAGTACCTGAAGCGTATAGACAAAAGTTCAGAAAGTATAGAAAGTTTGATAATCAAACATTTGTTGAATTTTCACGAGAGAAAGAAGATTTATTCGATCACTGGTTTAGATCTAAGAAACTTGATAAAACTTTTGCTAATTTGCGCCAAGTCATCCTGGTAGAAGAGTTTAAGGAATGTGTTCCTCAAGATTTGAAAACACATTTAGAAGATAAGAATGTGAAAACTCTTGAAGAGGCAGCAGTCATATCTGATACTTATGCTCTGTCTCATAAAAAGAATTTTGTTTCAAGATCTCAGACTAGCAGTAATTCTACCAATTCAGACACATATAAAAAGAGTGGTTCAGGGTCTCAGTCTTTCACAAGTTCCCAGTCTCCATCCCAAGGTGGTTTTAAGTCCGGTTCAGGACGTGCTGAAGGATTGTCTGGAATAGGGTCGCTTCCTACTTGTAGTTATTGTAAGAAAAAGGGTCATCTGATCAGTGAATGCTTTAAACTTAAGAGAAAAAATGATTTTGATAAAACTCAACCACATGCTTGTGCGGCAGTTAGAGGTGATAGAGAAGCCTTAGTTTCAATTTGTTCTGACACTCCTGATGTCCAGGGTTTACAGTCCAGTTCTATTGATTCTATGGAGGATTATAAGCCCTTTATGTCTCAGGGATTTGTTTCACTCGGTGACTCTAGCGAAATAAAACCTGTCCAGATTTTGAGAGATACTGGTGCTGCACAGACGTTATTGTTAGAGGGCGTGCTTCCTTTGTCTGAGCAGACTTCTACTGGTGGGTCAGTTTTATTACAGGGTGTGGAGCTAGGCGTCATTGATGTTCCCCTGCATAGAATTAGTTTGAAGTCAGATTTAGTTACTGGACCTGTTATCGTAGGTGTTCGACCTACTCTTCCCGTTCCAGGCATTTCTTTGTTGTTAGGCAACGATCTGGCTGGTGGAAAAGTTGTACCAGATCCTATAGTTTGTGAGAAGATCACTCCAGATGTCATGTATAATGATGAAGATGATGACATTTATCCAGCCTGTGCTGTTACTAGAGCGATGGCCAGAAGACGAGAAATGGAGGCAGACCATACTCAAGCCTTTGACGAGACGAATTCCTCTGTTGATATTGATTTGAATGACACTTTCTTATCTGACCTTAATGGCACTCAAACAAACATGGAACCACACAATATCAAGAAGCAAGAGAAGAAAGAACTGTTACCAAAATTTGGTGGTGAGGATGATGAGTTGCATCCACTAGTTAGCAAAGGCAAGGACATCCTCAGCCGAGAACGTTTACTCTCTGAACAACATAAAGACCCAGATATCATTCAACTTAGTAAGAGGGCACTTCCACCAGAAGAGGCTACTAAAGTTGGAGAATGCTTCTATATGAAAGATGGCATCCTTATGCGAAAATGGCGACCACCTGATGCTTCTCCAGATGAAGTGTGGCGTGTTGTTCACCAGATAGTGGTCCCAGCTGCTTATCGTCGAGATGTCATGAGTTTGTTTAGCTCACGATACACCTATGGCTGGTCATTTAGGTATCAATAAGACTTATAATAGGATTTTGAGTCATTTTTATTGGCCTAAGCTAAGAAAGGATGTTTCGAAGTTTTGCAAGTCATGCCACGTCTGTCAGATGGTAGGTAAACCAAATCAGAAGATATCATCTGCTCCTCTCCAACCCATTCCAGCTTTTGAAGAACCGTTTAGTCGAGTATTAGTGGATTGTGTAGGACCTTTGCCTAGGACCAGATCTGGAAACCAGTATTTACTTACCATTATGTGTACATCCACTCGATTTCCTGAAGCCATACCTCTAAGGAATATAAAGGCAAAGAGCATAGTTAAGGCCCTAACCAAGTTTTTCAGTTTTGTAGGAGCACCCAAGGCAATTCAGTCGGATCAAGGCTCAAATTTTATGTCGGGGTTGTTCCAGCAAGTCATGCATGAGTTGGGTATAAGGCAATATAGATCAACTGCTTATCATCCTGAGTCCCAGGGAGCGCTAGAACGTTTTCATCAAACCCTAAAAACAATGCTGAAGACCCATTGTTACCAATATGAAAAAGACTGGGATGAAGGGGTTCATCTTGTGCTATTTGCTGCACGAGAAGCAGTCCAGGAGTCTCTTGGGTTCAGTCCTTTTGAATTGGTGTTCGGACATACAGTTAGAGGTCCTTTGAAATTGTTGAAGGAAAAGTGGCTGACTGAGACTAGTGATCTTAATCTTTTAGATTATGTGTCTGATTTCAAAGAAAAACTTTACAATGCTTGTAAATTAGCACAAGAAAATTTGAAGAATTCTCAGATGAAAATGAAAATGTGGTATGACAAAGATGCCAGAAATAGGGTGTTTAAGCCAGGTGATAAGGTTCTTGTATTTTTACCTATTCCTGGTCATCCTTTACAGGCCAGATTTTATGGCCCTTATGAAATTGAAAGCAAGATCAGTGATGTAAACTATGTAGTTAAGACACCAGGTCGACGTAAAGAGAAACGGGTTTGTCACATTAACATGTTAAAAGAGTATTTTGAAAGGTGTGACCGAAATTCTGTAAAACCAGTTTCCACTTTAGCCAATGCTAAGACTGTTCAAAATTATATTGAAAGTGATACGAGTGTAGAAATGAATGAGAAAGATTGTAATCAGAGTGTTCGTTTGAAAAACTCAGAAATTTTGGCTGATTTTGATGCCAAACTTGGACATTTGAACATTCACCAAAAAGAACAAGTTAAAAATTTGATGAATGAGTATCATCAAATCTTCTCGGATGTTCCAAAGAAAACTAATGCAGCTTGTCATGATGTTATAGTTGGCGACGCTCTGCCTATCAAACAACATCCGTACCGTCTGAATCCAATAAAATTGCAGTACCTAAGAAGGGAAGTGCAGTACATGTTGGACAATGACATTGTTGAACCTAGTAAAAGTAACTGGAGCTCACCATGTATTCTTGTACCAAAACAGGACGGTACCTACCGATTATGTACAGACTTTAGAAAGGTGAATTCTGTTACCAAAACTGATTCATATCCAATACCTAGAATCGATGACTGTATTGACAATATTGGAAACGCGAAATTTGTCAGTAAATTTGACCTGTTGAAAGGCTACTGGCAAGTGCCGTTAACAGAAAGAGCAAAAGAAATATCTGCTTTTGCTACACCAGATGGACTTTACCAGTATAAAGTAATGCCTTTTGGCATGAAAAACGCACCAGCTACATTCCAAAGGATGATTCACTCCCTTCTTCAAGACCTTGAGGGATGCGAGGCCTACATTGATGATGTCGTCATATACAGCGACACATGGGACGAACATCTCCGAATCATGCGTGCTTTATTTGACATTTTAGCTAAAGCAAACTTAACTGTGAACCTTGAGAAGAGCGAATTTTGTCATGCCTATGTAGAGTATTTAGGTCATAAAGTAGGTCAAGGTTATGTTACACCTATTATGGCTAAAGTGGAAGCTATTGCAAAGTTCCCGATTCCTACAAACAAGAAAGAATTAATGAGGTTTTTGGGCATGACTGGGTTTTACAGAAAATTTTGTCCAAATTTTTCCTCAGTAGTTAGTCCACTTACAAATCTTTTACAAAAGAGGGTTAACTTTGAATGGACAAAGGACTGTGAAAAATCCTTTCATAAAATCAAATCTGTCCTTATGAGCAACCCAGTTCTGTCAACTCCAGATTTTTCTAAGCAATTTAAGCT